CCCCCCCCCCAAATATTTTGGTAAACAGGAAGTTGTTGAGTGGTGAATCTGAAAACGGATCACGGTATAGCCGACTAATATAAACCCTGAAACCAAGTTTCAGAAATCCTTGTATTGTAGTTCCTGAGAAAAATGTGCCGAAATTTTCAACTTGGCTACCATGTGTAAAATGATACAAGTGTTCGGTAAACAGGAAGTTGTTGAGTGACGAATCTGAAAACGCATCACACGGTATAGCCAACCTATATAAACCCTGAAACCAAATTTCAGAAATCCTTGTATTGTAGTTCCTGAGAAAAATGCGACGAAAAATTTTCATGGGACGGATAGACGGACTGACGGACTGAGAGACTGACAGATGAACAAATGGATGGACGGACAGACAGAGGTAAAACAGTATACCCCACTTTTTTAAAGTGGGGATATAGTTAAATTATTATCAAATACACTTTTTGTGTCACGATATTTTTTCTTCACAACTATTACCCAGTGTTGTTATCAACTGACAAGCTCAATTAAGAATTAAATTATGTCCCATCAAAATGAAAATATAAATCTGCACCTTTTTATCCATATAAATAATCATATAAGTAGAAACAAAATGTAGTGTGCTTGCATGATAATGAGACCATAACAAATCAAGACAACTAGAGGTCAACCTATAGTCTGCAACAAAGTGATTATACTATAGGCCAAGCTCTAAATTGTCCTAAGTCTTAGCCTGTATTCTTTCATTTCTTTATATACACTAAACCTTAGGTCTTACTTCTTTAGTTGTTTTTGTTACTTTTAAGACGCCACTGAAGGCTAAACTGTTGATGCAATAGTTCAATTAAAATTTTAATCAGAAACAAAACAAATGATACAAAATATTTTGATCAAAGATCTAACAACATTATCTTTTATAGAAATCTTATCTCAGGTGCAAAGTCTGAGCAAAAGGGTTTATTTCGTAACTTTTACAACTCATTACCCCCATACAAATGTATCAGAAAGATCTCAAACAAACCACAAAAACATATTTACAATCAGCTAGTCTGTTTAAAGTTCATTCACAGAAAATTTAAAGCCAATGATAAAACAGTGTCACAAAAAAAAGAAAACTTTGTCACATTCCATTGTTTTTAAACAATAGCTGATGGCAACAGATTATCATTTCAGTCACCCAGAAACACACACACAGGAGATAATCTGAGCATTAGCTTCCAATTCTCAGTATATTTTATGTTAGCATGGCAACTTTTATGTTAACATGGCATCTTTTATGTTGTGGAAACAAACAGTACAACAAAATCACAAATGCACTTCAAAGAAGACTATTCTTCATTTAAGATCAAGTTATGCCTTATATGTATATTTAAAATTATAGGTTATTTATCTATATATTACTTAAAGAACTTAAATTGTTCTTTATTTTATTTTTTGTTTTTTATCTCATTGTTTGTATTGTATTATGAAAATTATTGATGTTGTAATGTTTATGCCCTTCGGGGGCCATAATTGGAAATAAAATATTCTTCTCCTTCTTCTTCTGTATTTAAGCGGACTACTATTTTGTGCTATATATTTGATGAATTGTGAAGTTTATAATACATGTCTGGAAGTCCTAAAGTTACTGTGACTTTATTGTTCTGGTTTGGAAAACAGCCACAAGTGCCTTTAATTAACTTAAGTATAAACCAATACTGTCTAGATATATCTTGTCATGTTAATATGAGTTCAGACAAAATTCTGTCATCCAATGATTCACCAGACAATGTGTACAGCTATACAATGTTTACATCTGCTCTCTCAATATTTCTTCAGGCCTGTGACTCATTTCTTTCTTTCATTTAATAATTCTTGGTCTCAAAACAGTTTAACCTCTTTGAAATTACATGATAAATTAATGGCAGAAATAGAATTTTATTCGATTTTTGGAATGAGGTTATAAGAGGTCACTCCTCTTTAATAATTGTTTAAGTGCCTTTAGAATCACGAACAAAGTTCTATTTAAGTTAGAAAACTCATTGTGTAGTTTCAAACTTATCTTTAAGAGTTGGGCAACAAATATAGAAAACAAAATTCAAATGTCATATATTATTTGATTATTTATGTATGATCCTATGTAAACACTACGTCACACATGTGTTGATACATTGGTCACTCTCAAGTGCACTAGTCACAAATAAACCAAATGCCCCTTGGTCAAGTAAGACCTAATAAAATATTGATCTTTGTTAATTATCTTTTTATTAACCCCAAAATCAAAAGTTAATTGGTTCAATAAGTAAATGTACACAGGTATGTTTGTCCAGGTGAGAAACAGTGGTAGTAAATACACACGATACCGATGTTAAGTGACGTAAAAATTTGGAATGGAAGTATAAATCATTGGATGTCACCTCAAGACATAAGTTATTTACATAGGTAAAGGTAAACCACCGATCCATCTTTAGTAGCCAAATCTTATAGCCTTGTCCAAACTTATAGAATATCCCCCACTACTATTGTCCCTTTAACTTGGTCAGGTCAATACCACGGGTGTCTAGAAACTTAAGAGTCTGCAGAAGGGTAATGAACACTTAAGTGCTTCCTATATTTAGGCTCATGTTTAGAAATTCAATCTTTTTGACATCTTTTCATGCATATTAAAATTCACTATGACATTTCAATGTTACATGTATCATGCATCGATAAATGTTTTACGTAAAGAGTGACACCTTTCCTTCGTGGTAAACCAAGATGTGCTTTTGTGAGCACTTAGCAAGGGTTTGGTTTTCAAATGAATCAGTCTGTTTTTTTTATAAATTATGTCTGCTGTTAACAGATTAAAATTTATTTTCAATATTTTATATACTTGATAACTGATGGAAAAAGATAAATTTATCACACCTAACAACCAACATCCTCTCTGACATTAAGTCTCAAAATATAGAACATCTTTTCAGCTTCCTTTTATAACATAGCCCCCAATGTGTTTATTTAACATGCTTTCATTGAGAACTTCAGTATAAAAATCTCTATTGGTGTGGGTTAAAATAAGTTACTCCTATAAAAAAGAAATTCATACATACTTAATTTTCCTTAATGTGTTTGCTAGTATTCATATTTTTTCAACCAAAGACTTAAAGTAAGCTGTGGTTTTTGGGTCCATCACCAGTGAAGATTTTTGGATTAGCAGTATAACATATTTTGTGATTGAAATAGAAAAATTTAAAGAAATGGGACCAGTTATCTCAAAAGCCAAGAGTTCAGATGATTGATATATCATGTGTAATAATAATAATAATAATATTTTATTCAATAAAATATCAAGCATATGAGTTAATACAATACTCAATATATACGATACATAAAGACATTACTAACACATACTTTGTAAAATATAATGGTATTTTATGAGTGTAGATAATCTTTAACTGCATGGAAAAAATTTGCTGATATTTCATCAGGGATAACCCATGAAAGCTTTAAAGCTTGTTTCCAATGGGGTCCCTTCATGTAAACGGCTTATAGTTTCGACATACAAAAAAGATATCACACAAATTAATATGACATAAAAAATTCATATAAGAATATTTTGAATAAAAAATGAGTTTAATAATATAAAAAGAAGTCTATTGAATTAAAAAATGTCAATTATTTTAAAGATATGCATGTACTTTCAGAAATTGCCATGTCATTACATCATGCTGTTCATTGTACAAGGACATTAAAAGCGAGTGAATTAGTTTAGTAAAAACCCACCACAAAAATACCAAAAATATTTTCTAATACTTTTTACCTTAAATAATCTTTTTCGGTCATTTTAAGTACTGTTAAACAAGTTTGGTGAGATGAAATGTATATAAATCTTGGTTAAATTGATTATCTTGGATTATGGCAGATTATAAAATATTCATAATGAACCTAATCATTATCAAAGCTTAAGTACTGTATTAATCAGGTGTTATTGCAACAAGGTCATGTGCTTATGTCACAAATAACATTCAAAATTCTCTTTCACCACAGCCTTGAAATTTGTCAGTCAAACTTTAATAACAGCAAAACTATGACAGTCCAGTCACTCCAGTGTGTAGCTAGCGTGGTCTATCGATCATGGTTTGAAAATATGTGTAAAAATGCCTTACTTCATAATATAGAAATGTTTACAAAAAATGTATTACATACAATTAACAATATACTCTGGTTAACACCCTACACTTATTGATGCTAACAAGTTGTTACACCATTACTACAACATAAAATTGTTGTTTTTTAGGATAACGTTCTAAGTAACAGTACTATGGCATACAACACCCAGTATAGATGGTACGGTTTGGTCCAAAAACATTTTTGGGGGCTATTATTCAAAATCAAGATTCATGAAAAAGAGCTACATGAAAAGCTGTACTTTTCACAGATGCTACACCATTGCAAAATTTAATTTTTTTGTTGTTACAAACTGTTTTTAGTTAATGGATTCTATCAAGGAAAATTTACTTATTTTATATTACTTAGAAAAAAACACTTAGTTTTATTTACTACTGTCTCTAGTATGGCAGTAGAAGGAAGCGGGTTCTATTTCATTTTCATAGAACTTTAGCTCACCTTAACTTTTTTACCTATTGTAAAGGTAACTTTGAATTATGTATACATGAGAATGTATCAATTATGTAAATAGATATATTGACCACATAAGAAATGACTTAAGACTGACCAATTTTTCCTAATGTACCGCAGTTCAATAAAATAGAATAGCCATTTCCTATAATATTCCTAGGTCTTTATAAGGTCAGTTCATTTATATAACTCTTTGAATTTTGATATGTCCATAACCAAAGTTTTTTACATCTGTACAAGATGAACAAAATGTCAAAATTTTTCCACTTTATAATTGTCTCTTTTGAGAACATGTACTTTACTTGTCTGTTAGTGACAAAGACAAGTTTTCCCAATATTGATCAACAAGAAAAAAGTACCATAAAAATTTTGACAAAAGAGTGGAAAGATATATCGTCAAATAACAATGTACCAACCTGCATGTTGACAGATTCTCCTTGTTGAAGATGTTGATTTGGACTATGAGATCTGCACCTGTCCTTCATATTGTTACATTATATAACTTTAAATTCAATTTTTTCCACACCGTCACTTCAAATATTTTGATTTGTTTATATTGTAATGTTTATTTTATCCAGGTATTTAACCCAAATTATATATCCAGTATAGAAGAAAAATTCTCAAATCAAATCACTTTCAGAACATCACATTAAACATTAAATCATAACGTTAATAATTAGTTTCAAAAGTCAAATAATTAATAATCCACAATTAAAATCCATTTCACCGAGAAAAAATGTGACCACCTCTTCCCAATATCATATTAATATAAGTGATCGTATTGCACTGTCTACCTTAGTTAAAGAGCCAACAAAATAATTTAACATGTGAGTGACTAACAACACAAATCTATAAATATCACAGCCTACACATACTGTATAGTGTACTATACACCACTTAACATTTTATATTAATGATCAATAGAAATTAAAATCTTTAAAATAAGGGGAAAAAAATGGAGTACAAACAAATTGACTTTTATAATAAGTAGAACATAGTCTAGCTTTTAGCCTAGGAATATTACATTTCTTCCCCACCCTTAATACATTTTCCTTTGATAATAAATCATCTTGTGTTCACAGTCCTGACAAAAATCACTGCTGAGTTTCCATTGTTTTGTTTGAAGGGACAGGGGCAGGGGCACTAAAAAAGAAAGATATTTTTGGCAATTTTATTAAATGTTTTTACAGGAACATATGATTAATTAACTAATGAATGTCTTGTATGAGAACAGGTTCAAATTTCTTTCTATCTCATGTATTTTCCTCTTTTTAAAGAAAACATATACTAGCACTCTATATACGAATGTAAAAAAGTCAAAATTAATAGCAGTAAAATTAACTAGTTCAATACTTTAATTGAAGAATTGATTATTTATAACAAATCAAATGTGCTGAATGATGTTTTAATGCATGTGAACAGATGTTCTTCATATATCAAATGTCAATTATAATTTATATGTTAAAAAAAAAATAGACAATCTATATATATGTATATAGAGAGAGTCATCATAAGGCTTCATTTGTGATGTGATCGGAATTTTCAAATGAGTCTAAAAAGAATTGTCAAAACTTATTAGTCTGAGGGAATTGAAGTTTTTTGGGAGGTTTTTTTCTGAAAGAATTACCAAGTTTATCAACTTATAGAATGTACAGGTGTAATAAGTTAAAAAATCATTTCAGAAACAAATACATATGTCTTGCACATTTCCTGTTACAGTTGCAGAGGCAATATCCAATCTGCACACAGAACTTCAAAAGCACAACTGAAAATGTGAAAAGAAATTCTTTCATGTTTCATATCAATGCTAACTGCAGGAGATTTTGCATTGACAAATTTTATTGGTTAATTTTTTTAGAGCAAAAACTCTGGAACATAAATCTGACAGGAGCAAACAATATACGACCAAAAAATTTTTAATTTTTGAGGTCGGTCGTCGTATAAAAAATGAAACTAAATGTTGTGGAACTAAGTTTAGCTACAAAGTTATAACATCCTAAGTTATTGTAAGGTCCCACTTCAAAATAAAGTTATACTTTCAGGTGGAAACCATCAACTTAAACATTTTAGGACTATTCAAGGACAGAAATCTGGAAAAGTAATTGTGATCACAGTCAACATACCATTGAACAGCATTTCATGGTAAATACCAAATTAATAAGACTCAAACATTATCATCTCAAAATAATCAATTCTAGGATTTTAAGACAAAATCTAGGCACATAAATCTTGAACAGTAATTAAACCAACAGTAAACTCAAAATTTACCTGAATTTAATGGTAGGTAATTATAACAATATTGATGTTTCTAAGAAATAAGGTCAACAGAAAAGATAACTTATCATCCTAAACGAGCTCAAGTATCATAATAAAACACTATATTTTGTTTCCAAATGTCACAAGATGGCCACATTCCACAAAACAATACATTTTAATGGCATACATGTACATGCAATATGCTACAACACTGAAAATTAAGTTTTATATTAATTTCATGATAGGCAGCAATGTTGCCGAGCCTTTTCATTGAACACTACACGCAATCCCCATAAAAAACCATGGAGTGAGCTCAGGTACTCCAGAAGTTCAGTGATTCCTGTTCCACCAGTGGCACCCATTGTGTTGCTCATGCCAAGTAAAACTTATAAGTTTCATTCTGTGATGTCACAATTGAGGAAAAGGGGATAGGACTTTGGCTACAAGTGAATAATGTCTGTGATCTTCTATGATGTACCGGTAGATATTTCCTGGCATTTACCCAAATCATGGTGGCATCCATAAATCTTTTAGAAGATATATGTATATATGCAGGTACAGCTGGAATGACAGTTTTACTTCAGAGATGGAAAGGGAGAAGGATAAACAAATATTAAGTGGAAGGAAAAAAGTCTTAGCTATAAACATTTTAAGGTTTGTCTGATCCTCACTTACATGTATTTAAAGTATTTACAACTTTATGGTTTAATTTATAGTTATGACTTTCCAAACATTTTGTTTCAGGTGTACATAATGAAGATTATTTTGGGTATCATGTGTCTTGGCCATAAAAAACCGTATCATACAGATTTTATAATGATCTAAGCATACAAGTGGACTACTGAGTCCAATACTGGTCTACAGTTACTTGGTCACTATTTTCAGACCAAACTATGATTTGACAGAAGTTAAAATACAATGTCATCACATGTTCAAAGTAAATAACTTTTGGTTAAAATTTTTATGTGAAACTATCTATTAAGATAAAAAAGATAAAAGTTTAACATTCAATTGAATTCTTTCTATGGGTGTATTTACAGTCGAGTTCAAAGTTTACATTTCATTCTTGTAAATATTTGCTTTCCTCCTTACTGAGACCAATTGTACTTGTGGTGTATATTTGTATAGAGCATATTGAAGATATTTTTTCAAAATTGAATATAAAATTATGTCTTGTTAACAACATGGAAATGTTTGTTACTAGCAAAAGTCATGTAAATAAGCTGAAGTACATTGTAAAAGATCAATGAACAAGACTATAAACATGATCAAACTTTTATTTTTGTCCCAATTTTTAACATCTTAATTTTGAAGCCTCATAGAAATCTCATTTTTGTTCCTTTGTTGTGTTTTGTTGTTTTGTGTGTGTGTGTGTGTGTGTGTGTGTGTGTGTGGGGGGGGGGGGGGGGGGGAAAGAGGACTGACCATGTACACAATACATATTTTCAGTATGAATTCATGCATGTGAAATTGCCAACCAAATTAGAACCCATAGAGATCAAGTTTTATGGTCATGGTCAGAGAATTGTTCATCTCTACTATATTTGTAAACAGCAAAATCAATCAGGACATGAAAAAACACTAGAAAAGTACAACTTGACCAGTAACAAAACACTGTAGTAAAACAAACATGTTTACTAGAGAGTGAAATTACAGGAAGTGTACTGTAATCATGGCTATTTACTGGCAGTCAAGAAATTATCTCCTAAGTATACGGAAAATGTCACTAGAACTCACTATATTAGTACACAAACATGAATGGATATATTGGGCGTGGGAAAAACTCAAGTACTCTTCAAAAATAACACATACTGTAGTCCTGATATATCAGCTTGAGAACAAACTGACCACATGTATTCACTGGCATGCCTTAAAGAATGTATGGAATGTAACATTACTGAACCTGCATCATCAGCATGTCAAAGTACATATAAATCAAGTACATGTATCTTTATGCACATTTATTTAATTGGTTGCATATGAAACGGACATGAAACTGCATATGCACTTAGTAAAATGGTTAAAAGTGTGAACATGTATTGGTTTAAGTGATAGATAATCATGAATTTAAGTTATTAGTCAGGAAATCTGTGACCTACTCCCTTACATTTCATTGTAACATAATCTAAAGGTCAAACAAGTAACTTGAAATTAACTGAAATACATATATTTTGTATTGATTTATAGATAAATAAAATTGAGAATGGAAATGGGGAATGTGTCAAAGAGACAACAACCCGACCATAGAACAAACAACAGCATAAAAACTGTTTCAACTTAAAAGATTTCTGACCTATCAACTAAATAAGTACCTTTTGAAATTGTATCTGAATTTTACTGCAGACAGTCTTTTACTTCTACTTTAATCTTATTCCCAGCAAACGGCAAAGTTTAAAAAAAAAAAAAAAAAAATTTCCAGTCAAAAGTGTACAGCAATATCAAATGAATTTCTAATGTTAACATATCTTTTTTTAAACTTCCATTATTTAAAACTAAAAATTCAACATTCCAGGTTCCATTGCAAATATTTTGTTTTTGTCTCTCGTATGATATATTGATCACTTTACTTAGACATGTTTTGACTAAATCAGTAGTTTACCTGTAGTAAATCTTTAACAATGACAAAAATCTAAATTAAGGCAACAGTAGTTTACTGATGTCCAAATTTCATAAATTGGTTAAGAAGAGACAAATCAAGGTAAGGGAATCGCATGAACTCCAAAAGGAGTAAGACCAGATCATCGACTGGGTAAGGGTTTCCTGCTAAGCCTGCATCACCCATCATGCGAATCCACTGTAGTCAAAATGTCACAATGGGGAACAGTACACAATCAGTAGAACTACAAATCAGATGTCTAAACTGGTATAAATCTAAAGATCTAAGATCGCTAGAGAGTTGAGACACAGAAACAGAGTATCAGTAAAAAAACTGGTGACTGTAAAACTTGTGTACTGTTTCACACAGCTACCTAAAGAACATTTGTTCTTCACTTTGTTATCACCAATTTGTTACAATGTGGGTTAGTACATGCAATTTAAGTACGGTAAACCTAAAAACTGACATTGGAATGGCCACAAAAACATAAGACTATTTGAAATGTATTCCCTTAACCGCAATCTTTGGGGAAAAAATTACATTTTGTAGGTTTAAACAATTTTCAAAACATGGCCCTGCATAACATATGTTACATTTTAGTGTAATTCATTTCTAATACTCTCTCCTAACAACGTACAACAAAGAAATGTGAAAAAGTAAAAAAGAATATGTCACTTTGCAAAAAAGAATTTGAGCGAGTGCCAGCATATAGTACATTATACATCTTATTTTCCAAAGTATGTCATCCCAATGACCTTTAATGGACTTGTCACGTCAAAAATTAAAATTGATGGAGAAAAAATTGCCGTAAATTTCATTCTAATCAAACTAAGTGTTCAGCCATTAAATAAGAAATAACAAAGGCGACCAAAAAATAAATATTAAACTACATTAATCAGAAAATAAATTTGACCAATCAAAAAGATAACAAGGCAAGATGCCAAAGA